TAATGGGGAGAACACAATTCCATACATAACTCAATGCCTTGCAGGGTTTTAAAGGTCATCACTAACACCTTGAATTGCATTTGGAAGCAAACCAGCACCCAGTGCAGTTCGTGCAGTAGAGGTGTTACATGTGCCATCCATGGGACTCCCAAAATTGCTCACATGGCTTCATTCTGAATCAGCTGAAGCTTCTATGTTCTTTTCAAGGGTAGCCCCATATATAAGCACATTGTGATAGTCCAGATGGGAGATTACAAGGGTCCCAGTGACCTAGAGAAGGACTTTGCTATTCAGGAAGAAGTATAACTGGTAAGGTTCCCCACCCCCACACAAAGATGCTAGGTATTCCTGACTCTAGGGGGCGATGCTCATCTCCATTTCAAAGCCGAAGAGCCAGCACTGTGCGAAGATGTCTCTGTGGTCATGCAAATAGAAAAAGAGGAACCATCTTTGGTGGGAAGGTAACAGCGTTCCGTGCTCGTTCGCCATTTAGTCATGCCAGCCACATGACCACATAGACCTCTTCGGACAGTGCTGGCTCTTCGGCTTTGAAATGGAGATGAGCATCGCCCCCTAGAGTCAGGAACGAGTAGCACATATGTGTAAGGGAACCTTTACCCTTACCTTTATATCTAAAGGAATCCAAAATCATTGACTTCACAAGAAGAGTATGTTTAACACCACCAGAAATTTATAGTTCTCTCTATTCTGTTTTCATTCCTTTTGCTATCGAAGGTTTCATCAAGCTGATCCAAATAATTAATGAAGTCTAAATTGTCCCTTTCTCTGAAATTGTGGAATAGGCAACATGCAGAGCACAGCAAGCCTTAAAGTTTGCTTAAGAAAAACAAAACCATTAAAAATCATTAAAAACAAAAATAAAGGCACAAAGTATGTTAATTTTCTGTAATACGTACTTTTAAGAAACTAGGTCCTCGTTTAATATCTATGTTATTTAAATTCCTTAATGATGACTGCATGAATTAGAACTTCTCTCATCTACATCTAAATAAATGTTGCTATAATTTGTTTATCTTGTAAATAAAAAGGCATTAGATGACAATGTTTTTGTTGGAAGCCAATCAGAGATGCAACTATTAGTTGAAATTACAAAGCCTGCCCTCCATCATCTCAAATGCTGATAATATCCTTAGCAGAAAAGCCTTTTCTGCTTTTCTGCTAAAGATATTAAATAAGAACATGCAATTAAATTTCCAATCAGTGCTGAGGAATAAGTAATGTCAGCATTATAGGCTGGTAGGAACAGCAATGTCATAACTTCAGCAGCTTTAAAAAGTAAATTATCCAAATTAGGTCGGCAGATATAAGAGTTTGTTTTCTCTCTGTAGACATTAAAGCTATTCTGTCCACAGCAGGAAAGCTAAGTTTAGGCTCCATTCATGAAGCTTATAGAAATTCATGCTGAGGCTTGAAATTCATTAACTGACAGCAATAGTGAAACCTGCCAAGGACTATATATTGGATGTGTGTCTCCCAGCCAGCATACAATTGAATGAATGAGAGAGAAATATCTTCACAGACAATAATCAGACACATCCCATTGAATGGTGTGAACTTTCACTGCTATTGTTGAAATTATTGGGTGCGTAGCAGTCTGTATGCTAATTCAAATAGCTATTTCTCAGACTCTCCTAATTTTTTTTTTGTTATTGAGCAATATCTGTAGACTGTGCCAATCCAACTAGACTTCATGTGATGGACAACGAAACACAGACAAAACCTACAGTAAGTGCAATAATGAAAAAAAAACACCAAACAAATTATACATT